TACAACCAGGTGGGAGTGTGAAGGAGTGGGAAGGTGAGGAGAGGAGTGTGAAGGAGTGGGAAGGTGAGGAGAGGAGTGTGAAGGAGTGGGAAGGTGAGGAGAGGAGTGTGAAGGAGTGGGAAGGTGAGGAGAGGAGTGTGAAGGAGGGAAGGTGAGGGCGGGAGGGTGAGGAAGGGAAGGTTAAAGAGTGAGAAGGGAGGGAGGTGAGAAAAGTAAGAGGAAAAGGGGGGGGTGAGGGAAGGAAGGGAAGGTGTTATATAACTAGGCCTCCTTCCTGAGACAGGTTCCGGTGTGACAGAGGTAACTTGACTCCACACTGTCGGAACTATATTATGCCACAGTGAGGGACAACACGTGATTCACACTATGCCAACCTTTTATTCATACACTATACCACTATGTATAAGTCTCCATACATTACTGCTTCTGTATGTATCCTTAATAATTCACATATTCAAAAGTTCACATCTTATACCGCCCCTTAACTTAATTTAACCTGACCTAAACTGTTACTATACATTAACACACCTTAACCTAATCTTACCTGCCCTAAACTAGACTAATCAGACCTAACCTACCCTAACTAACACCAATTTATCCTCATCATGCACCTGGGTCAAGTTAGGTTAGCTTAGGTCAAGTTTCATTAGGTTTGTTATGATAATTTTTGGGTGTGTCTTTACCCCACAATTGTCCTGTACTTCAAAGCCATTGACCACTTTGTGAAATCTAAATTGGTGGGAGTGTGGGAGGTGTGGAGGATATCTCCATAATTACTCACTTCAGATGGACATAAAGACCAGATTCAGATGAAACAAGAAACAATTAATGCCGAATAACACCCTCATACAACCCACCTCCTGCACCCCCACAACCCCCACCTCCTGCCCCCACACAACCCCACCTCCTACACCCCCTCACCTGCTGCACCCCACAGCCCCACCTCCTGCACCCCCAAACAACCCCACATCCTACACCCCACCTCCACACCCCCCACCTCCTGCACCTCCTACACCTCCCTACCCCCACCTCCTGCACCCCCACACAACCCCACCTCCTACACCCCCTCCTAATTCGACAAAGCCGCCTCGTGTTCACCTTCGCCTAGGAAATACCACTGGTGACCCTTGGTGTGGATGACCTTATACTGCCTGGGATCACTGATTAGCTCCTCCCACATTATCTCACCTGGTGATTACACACTCCTAACGCTGCCCGGGAGACTTAGGTTACGTTTGTGTTAAGTTAGCGTTAAGTCAGGTTAGGTTTGGTTGCGTTAGTTTACGTTTGATTCGCGTTTGGTTAAGTTAGCGTTAAGTTGTGTTAAGTTAGATTAGGTTTACGATAGAACCATACATATGTACTGTACATATACTGTACATACATAAATATACACAAATATATATATATATATATATATATATATATATATATATATATATATATATATATATATATATATATATATATATATATATATATATATATATATATATACCCTGTATATATAACTTCAGCAATGGACTTGTTACGTGGAAAGTATAGTTTCATGACGAAGAGGAGAACCAGGGAAAACATAAACATCTTGACTAAGTTGGGTTGATTTAATCATTAACGTTTCAGAAAATCATTTTCCACCATCAGAGCCAACTGTAGAAAACAAACCAAAAGTGAGTTATCAAAAGTCTTTATGATTTACCTATACATGCCCTACAGCTAACACACGTAAATCATTAAACAACTGAGGACTGCAGGTGTGTGGGTATGGTGTCCATAGTGTTAAAGATTGTTTTAATTGAACTCTGGACTTTGAAGACTAGTCTATAAACAATTTGTGGATATAATTAATTGATAAGCTTCTTAAGTTTGTTTCTAAGGGTGAAACTGAGTGGGCCTGTGTACGGGATGGTGAGATAGGTAGAATATTCAGGGACGGTGAGGCTGTGTGGGACCAAAAATCCTATTAAGGGTTTTGCCTATATAAGTGTGTGTAAGTCTCTTAGGGAAACCATCGTTAAAGAGTAGTTCATTTATGTATTTCAGTTCAATGTCCAGGTGGTAATCGCTTAAACATATATTAAAGGCTCTGTTGTTAAGAGTACACATTAGATTTCGTTTGTAATTAAGAGGAATGAAAGATGAAAATTTTGAACTCAAATCTGTGAATGTTGGATTTCTGTACAAGGCTGTCTCGAAACTATTATGAAGACGGTGGACATTAACATCAAGAAATGGTAGAATATTGTCCCTTTCTAATCCACAAGTTAATCTGATGCTGTCATGCTTCGAATTTAGATAATTTAGGAACAAAGGGACACTGGGCACTGTAAACGCTTCTGCGCTTCACCTTGCACAGGATGTAAGGGGGTGCCCAATAAACTAGCCCCCTCGTGGACAATCTGTAAAAATCTGTGATTAAGTGATATGAAAATAAAAAATGTGTCATCAACATACCATCGATAGAACAAAGGCTTAAATTGGGAGTTATATATCAAGTTATCGATCTATCATGTATTTACCTACGAGTATCTATCTATCTATCTATCTATCTGTAAGTCCTTGGTGAGGTGACAACTGTCCACTCACCTCTACCCGTCACACGTGCTGCACCGTATCAAAGTCCTCACTCAACCTCGTGTCGGGATATTTTCTACACACTGCACCTACCGACACACAGGAAGCATCCGTCTTTCTTTCTCTCTACACTTCCCCTTTCTCTCTTTTTTTCCACTTCTTCCTTCTCTCGCCTTATTGTTTCTCCCCTCTCTGTTCCCTTCTTTTCCTCTACCTATTCTTACTCTTCAGTCTCCTTCCTCCTCACCACCACCACCTCCTCCTCTGTACCCCTCTTCCTCCTCACCACCACCACCTCCTCCTCTGTACCCCTCTTCCTCCTCACCACCACCACCTCCTCCTCTGCCCCTCTTCCTCCTCACCACCACCACCTCCTCCCTCTGTGCCCCTCTTCCTCCTCACCACCACCACCTCCTCCTCCTGTACCCTCTTCCTCCTCACTACCACCACCTTCTCCTCCCCTCCTGGCACCCTCTTCTCCTCCACCACCACCTTCTCCTCCTCTAGCTTACCCCTCTTCCTCCCTGCCCCACCACCACCTGCACTCACTCCTCTGTACCCCTCTTCCCTCCTGCCCACCCACCACCTCCTCCTCTGTACCCCTCTTCCTCCTCACCACCACCACCACCTCCTCCTCCCTTGCCCCTCTTCCTCCTCACCACCACCACCTCCTCCTCTGTACCCCTCTTCCTCCTCACCACCACCACCTCCTCCTCTGTACCCCTCTTCCTCCTCACCACCACCACCTCCTCCTCTGTACCCCTCTTCCTCCTCACCACCACCACCTCCTCCCATCAGCCCAGCCAGCAGTGTTCGTCACGACCTCAAACCAGACTTCACATACCTCAGAGCATGACGTCAGGTATTGTGTAGACATTGCGTGTTCATTTACTAATGCCCAGGTACAGTGGTGAGATGTTCCTGCCCAGCCAACCATAACACAACACAAACAATACTAACATACTCCGGGCAACACACTAACAACACGATCAATACTAACACACTAGGCAACACAACAATAGCAACAGCAACACACCAGGTAACACACCACCAATACACCAAAGTACATCTCAACACCTCAAAATCCTCAGCACACAGAACCTAAAAACCATAACACAATACACCTCTAGCATGCAACACCCACCCACAACACAAGGTACACCCACAACACATACACATTACACACCCACCCACCCACAACACATAAGGTACACCCACCCACCCACAACACATAAGGTACACACACACCCACCCACCCACAACACAGGTACACACCCACCCACCCACCACACATAAGGTACACATAATGGGGGGGGAGGAGAAATGATAAGGTGAGGTCGGAAGTGTTTGCTCAGGTAAATTATAAGGAAGAAGGTAGAGAGGGAGGGAAAGGGAGGGAAAAAGTGGAAATAAAGGAAGGGAAGGCATGGGGAAACAAGAGAATGCACACAGGAAGAGGGGGGGGGATAAGATAGTGAATGCAAGAGGCGGAAATGGAGATGAGGGAGGGAAGGGGTAGGGAGAGGAGGAGGGAGGAGGGGAGGGAGGGAGGGAGGAGGAGGCAGCTGGCTGTCAAGGAGAAGGCCCAGGTGGGAAGATGAAGGTGGGTGGAAGAGAGATGGGGAGGGAGGGAAGAGGAAGGGGGAGAGAAGAAGGAGGGGGAGGGAAGAGGGAAGAGGGAGGGGGGAAGTGAGAGAGGTAGGGAGTAAGGGCCAAGGTCACACAAGGACAGGTAAAAGGCCACCTCCCCATCCCTCCCTCCCTCTCACCTCTGCCTCAAGTATGCGGCGCTGAGAGAGGAGCAATGGACTCAAGCCTGGGCAACGCTTGGCTGCTCCTGTGTGTGTGTGTGTGTGTGCTTGGTGGTGGTATGGTGTGTGGGTGGTGGTGATGATGATATAGTGTGGATGATGATGATGAAGATGAGCGAGAGAGAGAGAGAGAGATTTATCACCATGTGCGGCGTAAACGTGACGGACACTGGCTACTTCCCGAGACCAGAGATCGGTATCAGACAGCCAACAGACACTGAACATTGAAGAGTGGACATGTGGCAGTTCAGGTATTGGTACTGGGAGTCAGCAGGTCCACCCACTTCACCCACTTCACACACACACACACACACACACACACACACACACACACACACACACACACACACACACACACACACACACTCCATCAATATAAGACAATAAGGCTAGTCTAGTGCCTGTACCGACAGACAATAACTAACCCATGACACAACCCTAACACACTATTAGCTTAGCTAGGCGGTCAGCCCGCCCTCTCTTAACTCCTAAACTTCTTCAATTTCCGAACTATAACTTCCTTCCCCCACCTCTAATCTTCTTTCACCCCTTCTTGCTCTACAAAAAAAAAGGGGCAGGATCACCCACACGGTCAGTCACCACCTGGGTCCCAAGACTTACGTGACGCTTACAACTGCGTAATTGCCTGGGGCTGAGCAGGTCACTGGTGGTCATCATACCTGCCAACAGACATAGAAGTTATTACACATTTGTACTATATTTTGATACAATAGTTAATTATATATAAACTAAGCTCTCAATAATGAAGGACTAATTATATCCTAATTATCTGACATAAGGTAATGATTGTCAACTTTATTTAATATTATTGACAAAATATTGGCGACGTCTGACTTAATAATGAGATGAATCTTATTCTACTGAAGTAATTTGACACAAAATCTTTATGTAACAGAATGGTGAATTATTACTTACTTATACACTAACGTAGTTATAATAATTCTATATTCATCTCCACGATAAAAGTTAATTATCTCTCATATAACAGCTAAATATTTTGTTTTTAAACTTCATTAATGCTTAAGACAAATAATTTTCTAATAAGGTGAAGGGGGAAGCATCTTAAAGTGATTCAACATTAAACACGCTGTCTTAAGATCTCACTCCAGCTACGGGATAATTTCAGCCTCTGGTAACACCCGCGCTCCGTCAGGTTGGACACAGAGCCTTACTGGTATTTGTGACGTTTACTTTATAATATAATAACAAATTCTTAAATTAATAAAATAATAACTCCTTGATTTTTCTATTTACTAACAATTTTGGTTTAGGTGATATTGTATTTTTCTTAAATTTTACTGAAAATTAAAAGTACACCTGAAAAAATATCGAAGATAATAAATTTTCTTCACTGAAAATAAGTGAGATAATTTTTTGGTCGAATAATCTGACACAACAGACGCCGCTACACTTATTTAGGCAACACTACTTATAAAACAAATCCAGGTAAGTCTCTCAACACTTTTGACGTTATTTAGATCTGGCCGTCTAGAGTGTTGAGGAGGCAGACAAAAACACAATTTCAGAGACCAAATCTCTTGAGTATCCATGACAGGCGCCTGGGGAAGAGATGAGACCACTCGCTGTTTACACTACACAAGGCACGACATTCACACACTAAATAATACACCGACTTCTTCTGTCAACAATAAACAAAATATATAAACAAACATCATTACGTGGAACATGATATATGGTAAACAAGTCGGATGGTCGTAAGCGAGGTGGGTAAAGTGGTAAACAACACTCTGTACAATAGGGGAGATACTGTACTTTGGCGAGACGACTCAGACAAACTCCAGGGGGCAGAATAGGAGATGAGTTTTCTCACTTACTGTCTATTCGTGCTGAAATAATCCTTGGCACAAAAACATTTCTATTGCAAAATTCAGATAGCCCAGATTCAACGTTTAGGGGAGAGGGAGAGAGAGAGAGAGAGAGAGAGAGATATTACCAGTAAGTGTGCTTTGGGCCTTTGGGGCGGGAGAGGGAGGGGGTGGGGTTGTGTTGGAGAGGGGAGTAGGGGGTGGGGTAGTGTTGGAGAGAGGGGAGTAGGGGGGGTGGGGCTGTGTTGAGAGGGAGTAGGGGTGGGGCTGTGTTGGGAGAGGGGAGTAGGGGGTGGGGGTAGTGTTGGAGAGGGAGTAGGGGTGGGGTAGTGTTGGAGAGGGAGTAGGGGTGGGGTAGTGTTGGAGTAGAGGGGAAGAGAGTTGTTGTTAGATGGGGAGGGGTGGCTCTTCACACGGCCCCCAGCATCACCCAGACCAGCACATTGTTTACGACACTCAATTCTTGGTATGGAACACCAGCCACATCTATCGTCAACAACTACTACTACTACTTTGCTCTCACTCAGAATCGAGTATGACGATCATCCAGCTGTGATACAATGAGTTATTAAGGCTGTCACACACACACACACACACACACACACACACACACACACACACACCTGTACGACTGTCCCCAGGTGACCTCGACCTCATTATCACCATACCTGTTCTTACCTTAACTCCTTAAAGTGTAATAAGATACGGTACTGACTCGTCTTGTTAAGGTAGAAGTCCCACAGTGATAATTCCAACGACAATATAACCTGTAATTAATGATGGTCGTATCTTAAGGTCAGTTAGTAGTTAGGTGTTCTTTAGAGGTTCACTTACGGTATTAAAAATAACGGAAGATGAAAGCTTTGGGGAATTAACAGATGAGAAGAATGGGGATTTAAATTCTCAAGATGAAAACCCCATCGCAACTACGTTATTACCTTTCGGAATTATATTTATGATTTATTGTTTGATCCTAAGAATTATATCTAAGAATTATTATTTGGTCCTAAGAATTGTCTCAGCCTCCCCCTGGCCCTCCTACCCTTAACCTTGTAATATTTCTGTTATTATCTCATCATCACTAATTATATGACCAAATTATCTCATTTTCCTTTTCTATAAAATTCCAGTATTTCTCTTGAAGTTTTTGCCATTCTTAGTACTTCTCCGTTTGTTTTCCTGTCAGTGTAGATTATTCTTAACATTCGCCCATAACGCCACATTTCAAAGGCCTCAACCTCTGTCTGGTGTCTGTTCAAAGTGCCCACGCTTCTGACCCATACATCAGTCCTTGTCATATAAAGCCTATCAGCAGCCTTTGTGGTAAATTGAACTTAATGTCCCTTTTTCATCAGGTCTTTTACATTATTAATGCTGTTTGTGCTGGTCCTATTCTTGTTTTGATTTCCTCCGTACATCTACCATCACAGCTAATGTTACTACTCAGTCATTTCGTGAAATGTCTGATTACGGTTTGACTGTAACAGTGTAACATATATATACCACCGTCGTGTACGTCCCATCGTGTGTGTACTGTAAATACCACCGTGTATATGTGTGCCTACATCACTTGTTTAAGCCCCTCCGTTTGTGTGTATGCCCCACCGTGTGTGTATGTCCCACCGTGTGTGTATGTCCCACCGTGTGTGTATGTCCCTAAGTGTGTATATTCCAAAACCGAGAAAGAAAAATATATTATCATTATTAAACTGGTGTTGTCATCTTCACACACCACAATAAAAGTGCCGGCCACATAACACACAGGAACTCATCACGACTCTCACACCAAAGATCCCACCAAACTGGACCCAGAGACAGGACGACCAAGTAACGTGGAGGAGAAACGGGCGGCTGAGGGAGGGAGAGAGGGAGGGAGGGAGGGAGTAGTAAGTTTAACAGGCAGGTTAGGGAGTAAAGTAAGTTGGCTGGGTGAGAAAATGTGAGGGAGGATGGGATGGTTATTGAATCAATGGGTGGGTGAGGGCTGTGGCGTGGGTGGCGGAGTAACCCAGCAACAAGGGGTAGCGGCAGCTGACACACACACACACACACACACACACACACACACACACACACACACACACACGAGGAAGTACCTCATTAACATAACATAACTCGCCCACCTGACCAACCCAGCCCTCCACCTCCCTCCACTTCTCTTCCGCTCACCCACATTCCCTCATTCTTTCCCGTTATCCACTCTCCCTCACTCCTTTCCGTTATCCACCCTCCCTCAAATCACCACTCCCTTCATCTACCCTCCCTCACTCCTTCCCCTCCTCCCCACCACCTCACCTCCCTCCTCCTCCCACCACTTCCTCACCCTCCTCCCACCACTCTCACCTCCCTCCTCACCTCCCTCCCACCACCTTCACCTCCCTCCTCACCCTCCTCCCACCACTTCCCGCCCTCCCTCCTCCTCACCCTCCTCCTCCACCACTTCTCACCCTCCCTCCTCACCTTCCTCCTCCCACCACTTCCTCACCTCCTCACCATTCCCTCACCTTCCTCACCACCTCACCCTCCTCACCACTTCCTCACCTCTCCCCACCACACTTCACCTCCTCCCTCCTCACCACCTCCCTCCCACCACTTTCACCTTCACCTCCTCCCACACTTCACCTCCCTCCCTCACCCTTACAATGAAAAATAAATAATCACATCAGTTAAATGAACAACGTGAATGGCAACTACAAAGCGCGAGATACACATTTATTTATTATATATAAAGTCAATGAAAACAACACAAAGAAACTGAGGACTGAGGGAGAAAATACAATGTAGAGACTAAATGGAGATAGGGCAGGGAGGAGGAGGAGGAGAGAGGGAGGAGAGAGAGGGAGGGAGGGAGGGAGGGAGGGAGGAGGGAGGGAGGGAGGGAGGAGGGAGGGAGGAGGGAGGGAGGAGGGAGGGAGGGAGGGAGAAGTACAGATTAAAGTGGAGGTAATTATGAGTGAGAAGAACATCATAAAGAGACGGGAATGACAGGGGAAGTAACACAGAACATGTAAAGTGAGGAAGAGGAGGAGGAGAAGAGGAATACAAGATTTAGAGAATAACAAAGAAAATGAACGACTGGACTGATATCTATAGAAGGGGAAGAGAAGGATAATGAATAAAGTAGAGGGGATATGAGGGAGGAATAAACAGACTCGATAACTGAGGAGAAAGAACAGACGAAGGTAGATCCCCATTAGTTCAGTCAGTGTTGTGCTGGCCCAGTTGTTCAGTCTTTGCTTGTTAGACACTATCATCTTTTCTTTATATATTACAACTGCACAATCTGTTCTACCTGTGTTTGTCTGCACAGAACCATCAGTAAAATCCTAACATTCACTTCATTTAATACTCTCTATGTGTCTGTTAATAGTTTCTAGTGTTACACATCTAACCACCTTGATGTTCAACATTTGCTTCCTACTAACAGGAGTGTAATTAATAGGAACTGATATATCCAGCCGAGGAGGAACGGCATTAAAGGCTTCATCTGGAGTGACTGGGACATTCATTTTCAAGAGATCAGTGACACTCCTATGAAATCACGCCCCATAGTCTCTTGTGGAAGGTTGGATGGAGTCAGGATTACGGGTGTGGGTAGTGAGGTGGGGGCGATGAGCGGGTGTGGGTAGTGAGATGAGGGCGATGAGAGGGTGGGTAGTGAGGGGCGATGAGCGGGTGGGTAGTGAGGTGGGGGCGATGCTGGGTGTGGGTAGTGAGGTAGGAGCGATGGACGGGTGTGGGTAGTGAGGTGGGGGCGATGAGCGGGTGTGGGAAGTGAGGTGGGGACAATGGGCGGGTATGAGAAGCAGGGTGGGGCAGGATTAGTCAAAAGG